TTGTTTTCATCTGCATCTCTCGAATGACTAATGATGTTGAACATTTTTTCATATGTTTATTTGCTATTTCTACTTCATTGAGAAATATCTATTCATTTCAGATGCCCATTTTTGAATTGGGTCTTTATATTTAGGGGGGGTCTGATTGTTTTGAGTTCTTTATATATTCTAGATAGTAGACCTTTGTCTGAGAAACAGCTGGTAAACATTTTTTCCCAGATTGTAGGTTGTCTCTTAGCTCAGTTGGTAGTTTCTCTTGCAGTGCAGAAGGTTTTTAAACAGATGAGATGGGGCCAGGGATTTAGCTCAGTGGCTCTGCCACCTGCTTTGCAAGCACAAAGTCCTGAGTTCGATCCCTGGTGGAAAAAAAGCCAGTTGTTGATTCTTTGTGCTAGTTCCTGTGCTACTGAGGATTTGTTCATAAAGTGTTTTCCTATGCCAATGTCTTCAAGAGTTCTACCTAGCTTATTATCTTCTAGCAAGTTTAGTTTCTGTTTTAGATCTTTAATCCACTTGGGTTTTAGTGTAGTGCATGGTGAAAGATAGGGGTCTAGTTTTACTCTTTGGCAAGTTAAAATCCAGTTTTTCCAACACATTTATTAAAGAGGCTATCTTACCTCCAGTGAGGATGGTTGGCTCCTTTGCCAAAGATGAGGTAGCTAGCTGAGTATGTCTGGAGTTTTTCTGCATCTTCTACTCTATTCCACTGATCCTCGGGTCTGTTTCTTTGCCAGTATTGTGCTGTTTTTATCACAGTGGTTTTGTAGTATAGTTTCAAGTTGGGGATTGTGATACTCCCTGACATGTCTCTATTGCCTAGAATTGCTTTTGCTATTCTAGGTCTCTTCTGGTTCCAAATGAATTATTGGATTATTTTCTCTAGTTCTGTGAAATATACTATTGAAATTTCAACTGGGATTGCATTGAATCTGTATAGCAGTTTTGGAAGTATGGCCATTTTCACTATACTGGTTCTTCCTACCTAGAAACAAGGGTTGTCTTTCCATTTTCTTATAACCTCTTTTTATATTTCTTATATCCTCTTTTTTCAGAGTGTTGTAGTTCTCAATGTAGAGGTCTTTTGCTTCCTTCATTAGATTGATTCCTAGATATTTCATTTTTTGGGATGTTATTGTGAAAGGGATTGTTTCCCTAATTTCTCTCTCAGTGAGTCTGTTATTTGTGTATAAGTAGGCTATTGATTTCTGAGTGTTGACCTTGTACCCAGCTACTCTACTGAATCTGTCAATTAAATCTAGAAGTCTCTTGGTGGAGTTTTTTGGGTCTTCTATGTAAAGTATCATATTGTCAGCAAATAATGACAGTTTGACTTCTTCCTTTCCTATCTTTATTACTTTTATTTTTTTCTCTTTTTTAATTGCTGTGACTAATGTTTCTAGAACTATATTGAACAGGAGTGGTGATAGTGGAATCCTTGTCTTGTTCCTGATTTTACTGTGAAGATTTTCAGTTTTTGACCATTTAGTATGATCTTGGCTGTTGGTTTTTCATAGCCTTTATGAAGTTGAGATAAAGACCATCTTTTCCAATTTTCTGCAGGTTTTTTTTTTTTTGATCATGAATGGGTGTTGAAGTTTGTTGAATGCTTTTCTGCATCTATTGAGACAATCACATGGTTTTTGTTCTTGACTCTGTTAGTATAATGTATTACATTTATTGATTTACATATGTTGAACCATCCTTGCATCCCTGGGATAAATCCAACTTGGTCAGCATGCGTGATCTTCTTGATGACCCTCTATATTCTGTTTACCAGTATCTTATTGAGGATTTTTGCATCTATGTTCATTAGGGAGATGGGCCTGAAGTTTTCTTTTTTGCTTGGGTCTTTCCCTGGTTTTGGAATCAAAGTAACACTTGCTTCCAGGAATGAATTTGGAAGTATTGCTTCCCTTTCAATTTCCTTGATGAGTTTAAAGAGTAGTGGCAATAGTTCTTCTCTAAATGTCTTATAGATTTCAGCATTGAAGCCATCA